TCCTGCCTATTATTCCCTATTGTTCCCCCTTAGTTTTTCCTGGGCTACTGAAGAAAGATTATAACATATTACGCAGGATGTTAAATGTTGTCAGCAGGGTAAGCAACGTGCCACTTAACCAGCTTGTTAATATTCTGGTTGACAGGCACATGGACTCATGTGAAAAATGGGCCATTGCATCTAACTCACACCACCCTCTTCACTCACAACTCTCCCCTTACATCTCATCAGGTAAAACCAGAAGCCAATTTAGAAAACTATATGCTCGCACCAGCAAGTACAAAAACTCAACCATACCCTACTTAGCTCGTGTTCTGTGTGATGAAGAAAGCATTAGGCGTGACACCTATAATTCATTAAATAGTCACTAGCACAACTGGATCTCGTCTTTCCAACTCACATCATCAATAGGTACAACATTTTCTTTCTTTCTTTTCCTTTTCTCTCTCTTCTTTTTCCGTTATGTGCTGCTTTGTTTCTTTCTTCCGCTTACGCCAGTAAATATGACAGCTCCCACTTTTCTAACACCTTCAAACACTGTTCAGCTTTACCTTTGCTACCGACATGCCAATATGTTGTTGTCATAATGAACTGAGATTTCCTTAATCTGTGTAGAATTCTATTTATTGATAATGTACTAATTGGATGCAATGCTGTAGTAAAAATGCTGAGAATTCCATTCTGTATCACATGTACTGTTTTGGGATAAAGCAAATTATTATTATTAGAATAAGGTAAGGGTTACAGGATTTCATCATGAGCTGACATCGGTTAGAGAACCTTTGAAAAACTAGCACTCGAGTACCGGACAGCTGTTTTGTCAGCCTAGTTTGGAACTCTTCAGCAGCATGCACCACCCTTCCAGTTACAAGGCGAGCAAGCTCGTAGACTATTAAGCCACTGGGACCCGACTCCTCAATCGCGTGACTGGTACTAGCCAATATCATCTCTAGTGAGTATTTGTTGTCACACCTAACATTCTGTACCCTACTGATGACGTCTTCCCATGGGCCATTGGATCGATTCCCAATGGCTTAATGGTTAAAGAGCTCACCCTGTGACCGAAAGGTCATGGGTTCGAATCCCAGTAGGGTGGATGGGTATTGTTAAGGAATCCCAAACTAGGCTGACGAAACAGCTATCTGACAGTCCTCCAGTGCTAGTTTTCTAATGGTTCTCTAATCGATGTCACCTCATGATGAAACCCTCTAACCAGTGAAATCCCTGCAAACCAACATTTGAAAAGTGAGGGCTGTTGAAACTTAAGGTTAAAATGAGCTGCCTTCAGGTTATAGACATATTCCATAAGAACACAATTAACCTTACTTATCAATCACACTGATGATTACTGAATTAGAAAACAATAATATGAGTAGTTGAGAGGACTTCCAAACTCTATCAACCTATTATTGATGGTCGTAATCCTTAGGATCGAGAAACAGACCTGTCATACGGAACAGAGGCGCAGTCACTTTTTGTAAGAGTTGACTACAGGCAGCGTAGATGAAAAAGTCAGAGTAAGAATGGCGTTCATTAATGTAAAATTAATGTTGAGATCCACAGCTTCCAGCACCAGAACACAAGGTCCGAATACTTTTAACACCAATCTTAAGACAGTGCTTATATATGATCCAAAGACAGGGTGTGCGCACATCACCAAAAGCATTTCCGAAAGTATACTGTAGGTATTCCAAAAGCTCTGCCGTTGCTCAATATTGAAGATAAGATGGTCAGCCAGAAAAGAACAGCAACAAGTAACTCTGATAGGCGGTTGACAGGTTAGTAACCTATTTCCCAACCAATATATACACACAGAAAGAAACGGAGGCAGACTGAACACATACTGAAGAGACCGCCGATTGACATCACACATCAAGTGATGGTTTGGGTATCCAAGACTGATATAGAAATATCATGTGAAGGGGAAATCGAAGCTTGTGGACAGTTATGGAGCTGGCTGAAAGTGACACCAAAGTACCGACTGTAACAGGGATTTGCCGCTAAGGCTCTTTATAGCACTCGGAATACAAGAAATAAATGGGAGGACCCATCGGTCTATGCAGGTTACGGCTACGGAACATATACACAATTGGTTGCAATAACAAATAAAATCACCGGATACAATTCATCCAGGAAACAGACGCCTGAAATCATCTATAGAGAAGCACATCATAGAGACGGGTCACAAGGTGTTGTTCTCAATAATGCTATTAAACCCAAACATAAAACAAGGTTGGGTTACGTCACATACTTAAATTCGTTGAAGCCTTAGTCATAAAATGGCTTAAACCTGTCTTATTTGTCCAGAAATTATTTTTTATTACTTTGAACTTGCCTTGGTAATCCAATTTAGAACCAAGGATCAATTTACTTAATGATAAGAAGGAAATCTCACACACAAAGGTTCAAACTTCACGTCAAGGAAACAATCAGCACCAATACCAATACAAGTAGCCTAGAGGGTGTGAAAACACACAAAAACAATCAATCACGTTCAAGGTCACCCACCAGAAGAGATGACTAATTAAATTCATGGAGAAATCTAAAAGCTCACTTCAACAAATTGAAGTATGCACTGAAGATGTTGCCTAGTGTTGGGGCAATGAAAGCTTCGCAAGTATAAACCATCGAGCTCAGAGAACACAACTACATCAAAAACTTAATGATATTCTCATCCAATTCCTTCATCTTTCTTACTCCAGAGCCTTATATCACCTTCCTACCTCTTAATTGTGGCCTTCACATGTCCATAATTTGACCTGTATTGTAAGAATTCATGCTCTCCTGCCTCCTATATAAATGTGTATGACAAGTACTCGTGTATATGTGTGTGTGTGTGATCAGAATGTTCGATAAACTAGGTCTTCTTACTGTTTCGTTGACATTCATAAAGGGAACTAATTACTTTATCATAATAATATGGTTCGTGGTCTGTCAAACAGTTTACATTTAAATCATCTAGGTCAAAATTCGTACTATAAATGCCAAATTATTATTTATGAAAAAATGATTCGTAATACTATACATTCATAAATTATTTATTCTTAATGTTTTGATACTGATCAGTTCACTGACAGCTTGTATGCAGGATGCATACCATCCCAAGCAAAATACTAAGCCGCATCATCCTGCATAGAATCAAACAAGCCCTGGATGAAAAATTTCGACCGGAACAGGCTGGATTCAGGAGAAAAAAGTCATGCTTTGATCAGATCATCATTGAACAAAGCTTGGAATGGCAGTCACCTCTCTATCTCAACTTCATTGACTTTGAAAAGGCCTTTAAAAGCGTCGATCGAGAGGTGATTTGGAAACTACTTCGCTACTACGGGGTGCCACCGACAATTATACATCTCATCCAACAGCTGTACGACAATGATGCATGCCAAGTAATCCACAACGAGAAACTTACGGAATCCTTCGAAGTGAGGACAGGAGTAAGACAAGCTGGCTGCCTACTATCGCCAATGATTTTCCTGATTGCAGTAGATTGGATAATGCGACAAACAGTGGGCAATGAGGAAACAGGCATAAAATGGACTCACTCAAAAAACTTGGAGGATCTGGACTTCGCCGATGATATATGTCTGATTTCCCACAAACTGGAAGATATGCAAGCGAAAAGCAACAAGTTGGCAGAAGAAGCATCAAAGATAGGACTTCAGGTGAACATAGATAAAACAGAGGTGATGAAAATTCCTGGCCAACACCACCAACAGCAACAACAACAACAGACAACAATCAGCATAAATGGGAGGAACCTGAAAGAAACAACCTCCTTCACCACCTACCTGGGAAGCATCGTTTCAACTACAGGAGAACGGAACTGACGAGGATATCAAAGCGAGGATCGGAAAAGCAAGACAAGCTTTCACTACTCTCAAGTCTGTGTGGAGGTCAACAACACTCAGCATCAAAATGAAGATAAGATCCGGATTTTCAACTCCAATGTGAAGTCAGTGCTACTTACTATACGGATCAGAGACTTGGCGCCGTGTCATAAAGAGCATCTCAAACAAACTACAGACCTTCATTAACAGTTGTCTTCGCTCAATACTCAAGATCAGATGGCCGGCCAGAAAAGATCAGCAACAGAGCAAACCAATCAGGAACCGATTGTGAAACAAATAGGCAGGAAGAAATGGAGATGGATTGGCTCATACTCTGAGGAAACCATCAAGTGACATCACTAGACAAGCCATTGCTCGAGTGGAACCCGAAATGGAAGCGGCGAGTTGGTCGTCAGTGCAAGGGTGACTTGGAGGAGGTCATGTGAAGAGGAGATGAAAGCATGTGGTGGCAGACTTGGAGCCAGGTGAAGACTCTAGCAGAGAACCGAACGCAATGGAGACGCACAGCTGAAGCCCTATGTTCCTCTAGGAATTAAAGGAAACAATAATAATAATAATGCAGGATGCAATTCTTTGTGAATAGTCATCATTTGGCTGCCATGTTAACCTGGTGTGATCAAAAGACTGGCTACAACTATAAGTCCCCTTTAGTTTTATCGAGCGAAATAAGCAAGCAGTCAGTTATATTATGGTATAACAGGCCCAATAATTGTAACGGAATCATAACTTCTGTGTAGATTTCGTTACGAAATAACACCAGTGACAGAATCATTGAAAACTATGAAGCAGTTTGGGACTCTTCAGTGGTGTGACCTCTCGACCGTAACTAGCATCGACCGAATCTAGGACCCTTAAAGTTACAAGGCACAGCCGTTTATCATTTGGCATCATTGGACTGGAATTCACTGACCTATGGTAGCGTTATGTCACCACGTGAGAAAAGTTAGAATTCACGAGTTAGTGGATTCTAAATCCGATAAATAGATGGTCAACGAACTGGTCTTGTAATATGAAGGTACCGTGTATAATCCTTCCTGGAGAATGGGCGTGTATTGCCTGATTTTGGTTCGTAAGGAAATCTACATTGAACCACTAATTGAAATGAATCAACTATTCTCCGTATTAATCTGCACTTTAGTTTTGTATTAGATGTTTGAAGAAGTTAGTAAGTATGAGGCCGTGAACTTTAGTCTCCAGTGTCTTGGTGATCATCAGCAGTGTGTGCGTGAACACTTCAGGGATATGTCCTGTTGATAAGTTCCAATAACCAAGAAATTGAGATGTAGAGCTTCCTGCCAGCAGCTTCCTTTAAACATCGACTATTATTAAAGAAGTATCAAATGCCTCAGAAAATAAATATTCAGGGAACAGTTTTGGCATAGAATTTATATAATAATTAAATATATAGATGAAGTTCTGGGTCGACAATGAAGACAGACATTTGAAGTATCACAATCAACTAACTAAACAATAATGCGACATTCTTTATTGAATGAAATGCAACGGCATTGATGGCTTCACCAAATATTTTCCGATGACCAGTTATTTCCAGAACGCATACTTTCGTATTGATATCCCATATTCTAATTCAACAGTCATGACTTGCTGAAAGAAGTGATGTTCCCTTAGAGTCTACACTGATTGTTGTTACTGCATCCAAGTGTGCAGTTAGCGAATGAACACATTTACCACTGAGTGAATCCCAAAATCGGATTTGACGGTCTCCATGAGCACTGATTATTAATGGGAGATGAGGATGCGAAATGATAGAATTCACTGAACAAACCGTTTTACTTGAAACAGCGTCATTTATATCTATTGATTGAAAACTTCTAACAATTTGATTAGTTTCCAAGTTGAATTCCTTATTGATACGAGTTTGACCACGGATTGATATCAGTTAGAGGACCATTGGAAAACCTGGGAGTGCCAGACAGCTGTTTCATCCTAGTTTGGGAATCATTGGCAATATGCACGCATCACTAGAGTTCGAACAAAGGAACTTCCGGTTACAAGGTAAACTAGCTCGTATACCATTCATCCACTGAGACCCGATTGTTCAGTGCCAGCCCATGAATTCTAACTTCTACCAATTCGTGATGTATTTAGCGCGACTGGCACCAACCAATGTCATCAGTGGGACAGACATCCTCACACTTTACTGGATGGACTTCACTGGTCACGACTTCTCACTAGAACTGACTCCAGGAAACTCCGTCCTGTAGCAAGTCACTAGTGAGCATCAGATAAACTTTCTATAGTTTGGTTTGTAAGGATTAGTAATTCCATATTAGTTTGTTTATTAGATGCATCACACAGTGAAACAGTATTATTTACTGGATGACGTTTCGAACAAAATTTATTGTTCATAATCATATCAATTGTGATCACACGACTTTGACACTTGAGTTTTATAGCTTTCTTTGTTTTCTTCTATTTGTCGTAGGGGGAGTAGAATTTTCCAGATATCGGGGACAGGTGATGAATCATTCCTATTACATGTATTTGTAGTTGATTCAATAAACAAAGCTTCTGTTATCAATCTCTCCCTATACCCTGTGACATTAGATTTTAAAACTGTCATCCTATCCCATCTTATTGTATGGTTGTGTGTGACTGCATGTAGTGCTATAGCTGAACTATTCTCCTGATTTCTTATTTTATTCGGGTCAACCAATCTAGATTTTGCTAAGTTTTTATGTTCAGCTAGTTTGACTGCCCCTGTTCTACTAGTTTGACCTATGTATTTGACCTGACAGTCATTGCAGGGTATTAGATAAACTAAATTGTTTTGTTTTAAAGGCTCTACAGGATCCTTTAACCGACAAAGCTTGTTTCTAATTGAGTTTATGGGTTTGAATGCCCCCTTTATTCCTGCCTTGTTGAGAAGTCTGCGTAAGGCTTTCGAGGTTACTTCCTCGTTTGGAATTACTACTGATGATTTAGATTCTTTATTGTTGGTGTCGTCATTAATATTATTATTATTATTATCATTATTATCGTTATCATTATTATTGTTACTATCACTATCGCTACTACCATTATTTATTTTATTTTTACATTTCCTTACATATTTCCTGACTAGTTTATCCGGGTAAAATCTAATGTCACAGGGTATAGGGAGAGATTGATAACAGAAGCTTTGTTTATTGAATCAACTACAAATACATGTAATAGGAATGATTCATCACCTGTCCCCGATATCTGGAAAATTCTACTCCCCCTACGACAAATAGAAGAAAACAAAGAAAGCTATAAAACTCAAGTGTCAAAGTCGTGTGATCACAATTGATATGATTATGAACAATAAATTTTGTTCGAAACGTCATCCAGTAAATAATACTGTTTCACTGTGTGATATACCTAATAAACAAACTAATATGGAATTACTTATTACCACAGTGCCCAAGTTTTACACATATATTGTAAGGATTAGATTTATTTATACGATTTCGACCACGGATTGATATCGGTTAAACAATCATTGGAAAACCTGGGAGTACTAGACAGCTGTTTCATCCTAGTTTCGGGAATCATCGGCAGTTTCAGGACATGAGTTTCTTCAAGGTGGTCGCAGATACGCATTGCTGACTGACTGGTTAGTGCCAACTAGCACGAAACCTAGATCAGGTGTGGGTTTCTACTGATTGCCTCCAACCATCTAATATCATCAAATAGACATACCACAGTCAAATGACCTTGAACCAACCAATCAGATCACTGAGCATTACAAATGGATTACAAAAAGCTTTTCATAATCTTCTTAGCAATCTTACCCTAACCCTATTTGTAATGCTAAGCGATCTGATTGGTTAGTTCAAGGTCATTCGACAGTGGTATGTCTATTCTTTATACAGTTGCCAAAATCGCTGGAATTTGCCGGGACTGTGATGTCTCGTAAACTAGACGTGAAATTCCAACTCGAACTGTAGTCTTAGCGAAAAAAATTGTTTTATTAAATAAATAAATAACATTATACATTATTAATTATTTCAGAATGAAGTCTTAATTTTATAACATATAATTTATTTGTATTATGCGCAAGTACCCAAACGATTTAAAATGTTGTTTATTGAGTTTACGTTGTCTGTCAGTCAATCAATCCAAATAAACAACAACTTGAAAGATGAACGTTAACAAAAACTTGTTCAATGTTTCAATATCTACATTTGTACTGGTTACATATGCACATATATATAACATATGACAGCACACATAAACACAATCATATACATCAATCATATACACGTTATGTAAGCCAAAATAAATCTAATCCTGATCGGTGAACAATATCATCATCATCATCAGCACAGTGTTACGAGTTCACCAATTCCCTCCGCATCTCTATTTTTTTTTAAATTTTTTACGTAAACCAGTTGAATAATCAAATTTCAAATTGAATAAACCAATCAGAGTTAAAATAGTGAATGTTTTAAGTGAAAGGTCTTTGGTGAATTTGTAGGTCACTCATATACATATATATATATATACACATTCGGTTTCACTTTGGCATACAATTAATTAGGTTTCATAATTGTAACTGGGATGCATTCAATCAACACGAATTTATTATCATTTCGCTGCATCAGTTTATTATTATATTATTGTTATTATTACTTGAAAGTGGTTATTCCCATGAAAGTGTTCCTAGTGAAGTTGGACATCATGAAGTGAAAGAAGGAACTAATGCCGTTGATGATGATGATGATGATCATGATGACGAAACAATAAATGAAAATCTCGATGGGCATCATATGAGGCATTTTGATCATCCCAATTATTCACATCACAGAGTAAGTCCAATTTATTTATTCTTTCTTATAATACGTGATTTTGTCGACTTGTGTATTTATCGCTTCTATTTCAAAAACTGTTTAATTATAAGAATGAAATTCTATCCTTAAATAGTGTTGTTTGAAGAAACATTAACCACCATACAGACATTTCTCCTTGAATGAGAGAATTTTAACATTTGTGCCTGAATAAGTTTAAGTTACTACTGATAATTCTAGTTTAATTGATCAAAAATGCCTATTAGAAATTGCAAAAGACTGATTACTACTGAATGAAGAATATACTTTTCGATAACCTGCTCTTCATCAGGTTCTATAGTTATATGTATCCACAATAATGAAAGAATTGAGGTTATTATAATTATTATTGTTTCCTTTAATTCCTAGAGGAACATAGGGCTTCAGCCGTGTGTCTCCATTGCATTCAGTTCTCTGCTAAAGTCTTCACCTGGCTCCAAGTCTGCCCACACGCTTTCATCTCCTCTTCACATGACCTCCTCCTCCATGTCACCCTTGCACTGACGACCAACTCGCCACTTCCTGTTCGGGTTCCACTCGAGCAATGGCTTGTCTAGCGATGTCACTTGATAGTTTGTTTCCTCAGAGTATGGCCAGCCAATCCATCTCCATTTCTTCCTGCCTATTTGTTTCACAATCGGCTCGTGGTTGGTTCGCTCATTGCCAGAGATCTCTGTTGCTGATCTTTTCTGGCTGGCCATCTGATCTTGAGTATTGAGCGAAGACAGCTAGCTGTTGATAAAGGTCTGTAGTTTGTTTGAGATGCTCTTTATGACGCGCAGTGCAAGTCTGATCCGTATAGAAAGTAGCACTGATTTGACATTGGAGTTGAAAATCCGGATCTTATTTTTCATGCTGAGTAGTGCTGTTGACCTCCACACCGACTTGACAGTAGTGAAAGCTTGTCTTGCTTTTCCGATTCTTGCTTTGATATCCTCGTCAGTACTGTCCGCCTGTAGTTGAAACGATGCTTCCCAGGTAGGCTAAACAGGTTGTTTCTTTCAGGTTCCTCCCATTTATGCTGATTGTTGTCTGTTGTTGCTGTTCTTGTCCAGGAATCTGCATCACCTCTGTTTTCTCTATGTTCACCTGAAGTCCTATCTTTGATGCTTCTTCTGCCAACTTGTTGCTTTTCACTTGCATATCTTCCAGTTTGTGGGGAATCAGACATATATCATCGGCGAAGTCCAGATCCTCCAAGTTTTTTGTGTGAGTCCATTTCATGCCTGTTTCCTCATTGCCCGCTGTCTGTCGCATATTCCAGTCAACTGCAGTCAGGAAAATCATTGGCGATAGTAGGCAGCCATCTTGTCTTACTCCTGTCCTCACTTCGAAGGATTCCGTGAGTTTCCCGTTGTCGATTACTCGGCATGCAGTATCGTCATACAGCTGTTGGATGAGATGTATAATTGTCGGTGGCACACCGTAGTGGCGAAGTAGTTTCCAAATCACTTCTCGATCGACGCTGTTGAAGGCCTTTTCAAAGTCGATGTAGTTGAGATAGAGAGGTGACTGCCATTCCAAGCTTTGTTCAATGATGATCCGTAATGTGGCGATCTGATCAATGCATGACTTGTTTCTCCTGAATCCAGCCTGTTCCGGTCAATCGGGGTTATTAACAATATTAATATGGTTTAAATAACATTATATCAATCAATATTATCAATAGATTACAGTTCAGTAGCATCAACATAACAATACACACTGGATATCAGAAAAATTAGGAAAGATAATAATTATACAAATTCATGAATTTATAGATTCCACAAAAGGCTGCACCAGGCAGCAAATAGTGGCTGGCTAGGGGGACCTGTTTCTTCTGCACACACACACACGTGGAGCACCAGTTGTTCTAGGTGAATCGCGATTACCTTTGCTGTTTGTAGTATTCGGTACCTAGACGCTTTTGGCAATGTATTCGATACCCGATAGATGATGATGCAGAAGACGGATTCTTCAATACTAGCTTTGTGGCCATTTGGTTTGGATGAGATGGTCTAATATCGAGCTACATATCATGGTTTTCACTACACCTTTATTTAGCCACATTACACTGGTAAATGTTCCCAAGTGAGCACGAAAAATCAAGTTCATAGAGCAACGGCCAATATAAGTCGCTCCACCACAAGCTCAGTTGAATCGGTAGATACAATTAGAAGTGACTAGCCTAGTCTACGTAGTTCATCTTTCAATTGAGGAATCATAACTAGTCGTGTAGAAAATATGACTTGTAGTTTACCAGCAGCAAAAATTATTTGAACTGAATTTATTAACTTCTTCGTAATTATTTCGCTAGATATAGCCGTATGTATAAAGGCTTCTTCTTATTCACAGATAGAGAATAGTCTTTTTCAACTTTCTAGGTCATGATGAAATTTTCTCGGTAACTATTTTCAGCTAAGAAGTCATATACAATCAACCCTAAGCTCATCTTCAATTGCGTCTTCTGAGCATATAGCTGTGACCCTATAGGTGAGAGTCCGTATTAAATTTCTTTTGTACTGGAGAGGAACAAAGCTATGAAAATGTGTATATTATCCTATCCGTGTACTTTTCTTATGCAAATTTCTCTTTATACTACTTACTGTCTGGTGTTCTTGTTAGAAGGATATCCAGGAAGGCAATTCTATTTTGGGATTCCTCTTCACTCGCGGAATTGATAACGGAGTATATATACTTCATCAAACTGAGTTATTATTGTGTTCCTTTTAGAATCATTATCACAAAAAATAAAGGTGTCATCCATATATCGGCAATAAAATAAGGGTTTTCTGATAAGTTTGTTCAAATGACCATTTTCTAGTTTACTTAGAAAGAAATCCGCTAACATGGGACCCAGTGGGGAGCCCACCGCCACCCCATCGACTGGTGTGTAAAGTGTGTCATCAAATTTGAAATTCACATTCATGATACACCTTATTAACAAAACTGTTTAAAGATTTCTTTTGGAATGCTAATGTTTACCAACTTGTTATACACTTGTTCATATATTATATAGTTAACTGTTTCTAATGGAGGTACACTTGTGAATAAAGATGTTATGTCGGTAAGAGAACTGGAACTAACAACCTCCAAAGTTCTAATCTGTTGACCTACCAATTGAGCTATGAGGCTCAAATGATGGCCAGGTCAGCATTTCACTACAGTTACCACAAGTAGTGATCGGGTGTTAGATGAATGGATGATACGTTACTGTAATTATGTTATCATCGTGTTAGCTGTCCATCTGCATCTCTGTCTGTGAATTCTAGTCATATTGAATGAGAAGACGTGATACATATGTCCAAACCAAGTTCACTTTTAACAGTTTGAAAAAATTTGAGCTTCGGGTATATGATATTCATTTTAATAAAGGCTTTTTGTATTTTCCAATGAATAAAAAAACAAAGCGATATTAGTGTGTTTTACTGATGTTCCACTATTTAATACTGCTGCTAATGGCTTTATCAAAGTAGTAGTATTAGACCAGAATTTACAAAATCCACTCAGCTTACTTATAAAAAACATAATCTTCGTTCCTCAATATGGGTGCATTTTAACGTTGTTATCAAGTTGGCCAACTGGTGAAGATAACAAAACCAGGTGTAGATGACTGTTGGATTTAAAAAGTGTGAAATTATAAAAGCAGCGTGTGTTTACATAGTGAAATTCCTTATCACATTCGTGTTAACGTTGTCATTTCATATGAGGGTGAGGTAGGTGTTTCAACCAGGCCAAACCCTGTTTTAGTCCATCATTCCTATTCAGCTTAGAAAATTTGGATTCCATTTGATATGAAGCGCTCCTGGTGATGTGAGACGTTCTTTGTGATTTCTGAAATTTTTCTGGATGATGATTTCAATATTGTCAAAATCAGTTTTGCGGCTTGATTCCATAGCGTGTAGACCAGCTATGGCTGATGACTTTAAAAGCTTTTCTAGTCCACTTACTGGATTCTCGGTGGTTGAACATATGCTCTACGGTGTTCACTTATTCCGATTCTGATTTCTCGTGATGTTTGTCCGATGTATGTAGCATCACATTCCAAGCATTTTATTTTATAGACACAATTAGATAGAGAATCTTTAGGGATTCGATCTTTTATATGAACCAGGTTGCTTTGCACAGTGTCTGATGTTTTGAAGAAAACTCTAATGTCTTGCTTATTGAGTACTCTTCTGATATCGTCTGACGTCTCCGCTCTATATGGAATGACAACTGTTGAGGTACATGTTTTCGGAATGCGTTTTCGGCCATACTTAGTGTAGGTGTTGATTTTGTTGATGAAGTTCTTTGAGTAGTTGTTTTTCTTGGGAGTCTCAGTAATGTTTGATATTTCTTCGTCTTTTTCTTTCTCATCCACTATCAAAGAGCGTGCTCGTCTAAGAAGTCTTGAAACAACTGATGCCTTTGCGCTGATGGGGTGTGATGATCCGAAGTCTAAATATTTATTGGAGTGGGTCTTCTTCCTGATTTTGTTATCTGGTTTTGTTATCTTTACCGATTGGTCAATTTGACAATGGAAAAATTCCCCTATACTGAGGAACGATGATTAAGTTGTTGTATATAAGCTGAGTGGATTGTGTAAATTCTGGTTTAATACTACTACTTTGATAAGGCCATTAGCAGCAACATTAAATAGAGAAACGTCAGTGAAATACAGCAATATCGTTTTGTTCTTTTCATTCATTGGGAAATACAATAAACCTTCATTATGATGAATCATTAGTAATAATTCTGAGTTAAAACAAGCAACAAAGGTTAATAAAGCAGGATTTAATGAATTCATCGAGTTTCTGTAGAACTCATCAGCTGAATACTCTACATACACGCATATATATACTTTTGAAATTGCTTTGGGAGATATGAGACTGATAAGCGAGCAAATAAACTACATTGAATTAGTCATGCAGAAAGACAGGTGCAAATGTTTCCTAGGTCATGTTCAAATAGATAAAGGGAGAGGCAATATGAGAGATTTAAATTAAGATAAATGGCATTAC